TCTGAAAACTTGACAAAACTTAGAAATGGACACCAAAAGCTTGTAACAGAATAGAACCGGCAAACAATCGCAACACAGCATAACATGAGCCATTATGACATCTGTTCAAAGTATTGATTTCTTGAACCGTGATTTTAAATACAGTTTCTCTTTCAGAATGGGCAAACGTGGCCGCTTGAATCGGAAAGGTTGAATGTTTGTTTTAAACGAACACAGCCATTCGGGCGGTTATATGAAGTTTCTTCTGAGCAGATAATCACAGCCGTTCGAAAACCTGAATCCCATCAGATGCCGTTGGCCGATCGAACGGCTGATTGGTTTTGTTAATGGATAGCAGCAACCGTTCGAACGGATGAAGATTTTTTCCGAACGGATAACCTCAGCCGGTCGAACGGATTAAGATTTTATTCGAACGGAAGACCTCAGCCGTTCGAACGGATGAAGATTTTTTTAGAACGGATAGCAGAAGCCGTTCGAACGGCTAGAAATTTTTCTGAACGGATGATCCAATCCTTTCGAACGGCATCCCATCGATCACAAAGGATAACAAACGGCAAGCGAACGGTTTTTAGGCGTTTGAACGGATAGCCGTAGTGTACGTTTTCGCGTGAGAGGTCACATTTTCGCGCGGTTGATCGTGCTTTTGACATAACTCGATAGTTGCAAGCAGCACGCTTGCCATTTCTTTAATATAACCAGTACGTAAATAATCGTGGCTTTGGTCAAATTGCATAACAATAACAACGTGGGCTAGCATAAATTACAGAGCGTGACCTTACATACACTGTAACTTCCGCTGAAGCTGACCTCGCTAATCGCGCCACGTGCAGTTTTTCAGCATGACACTGAGAGCGCTGATGGGAGCTATACGACACAACACTGCCAGGTCAATTCTCGGTTAGGGATACGAAAGTACCTTTTAATATATCATAAATCTTACACATGAATCGCAACTTTGACTGTGAAGATGAGATTCCAGAAGTCACTGCGAATATGTGCATACTGGCATGGCCTTCTTGCTCTGCTTTTTCTTCCGCGTGCAGGTATGTGTTATTTATTCCCATATTATTTCGTCTGGGTCAAGATAAAAAGTCCAATTCAAACTTCTATGCTGTCCTGGTTGTGTAACTAGCCGGCAATTAGAGACTATACTTATTACTATAAACAAATTAGTATTCTTCAGTTCTGTTTAACACTTTACCTTTGTACGATTCGTTTCGCCGATCAGACCATCGAAGACGGATTGGTTTCCCAAGCGGAAATGAACAAAGCGTGATCGGAGGCAACAATATGATAATTTTCAAGACGACGTTCTGTTCTGGCAGGAAAATTCGACTAATACTACCGATGATTTCGATTGAAGCGACATGCAGCGTTTCAAATGCTGCACTCATTATGAACTAAAGGAAAGGACGTATCGATATTATTATATATCATATATATCAGGAAGTCTGTAGATATCAGTAGGATGGTTCGCGACGAGTGCAATCACATCTGGCTTACTCATTCGAAGTTAATTAATACAGTAAAACCTCGCCATCTTTAACTTGGTTTGTTTCGTACTCCTAGCTGTTATCTCGATTTTTTTGAGTGTAAATTTCATGATGTGCTTTATGCAATTGTTTGATGGAACATCTCTGTGATATCAGCGCTAGAGCCGGAATGCTGTTGTTACCAGGTATAACTATAGGTTGAATTTTGTCATGCGTCTTTACTGACCCCAAATCATTTTCTCGTTTAT